TAGATGTAGCAGTTTTTAGCACTTGCCTTGGATTTTTTGGTAAGTGCGGCCGTTGTAAGCCGCTGTGATAGCGACGGTTTTTTGTGGTGGAAGGGTTTTTCCTTGAGGGGTTTTGCCCGGACGCCGGGTTTCCCCTCCATATGTTACCATGTTGGTATTTTCTGATGTATCCTGGGGCGTTCTTGCCCAATTGATGGTTAGTCACTTGCGTGAAGAACCAGGGAGGGTTTTCGTGAGTCTGCGAACATTGCTGTTGGATACATGTGCTGGATGATTTTGTGTCACGCCGACTGGTAAGATAACCGTTTGAAAGGGGGCACCGCGATGATTGACGGGGCCCCTCCTTGCTGTGGGAGTCGCTCTTTGAGCACTCCCTCTTTCGTCCGTGTGAAGGACGGTCGTCTACCTCCCGTGAAGTTAATACATCACCAAAACAGTCTCACCCGAGAAGTAAGTGGCGTAGGCCGCAAACAATCGTGACCTTTCGTACGATGCTTGGATGTCTTTTTGTTTTGAGCGTTGCCAACAACTTAGTGCAGCGATGAAGTAGAGGGGGCGTACGCGCCCGGGTGATGGATTGCGGTGATTTTGTTTGCATTCGCTGGACTAACTGATTGTTCGGAAAGAGGTTGGTTGTGGCGGCGGGAGAAACGTGCCAAGAGTGACCGAATGGAGTATTATGGTACTTTCTCATTTTTTCTCCTATATAGGAAGCGATGTTGTTGGTGAGAGAAACGGGAGCACGCGGAAGAAGTACAGCACACTCACACGGAAGCGTTGGTACACTTTGGTTTTTAACGGCTGCAGGGCGTTCGCGAGCTTGTTGTTTAGCTGGGTGCGCCGTGTAGCTAGGTGTAGCTGACGCCATGTCTGTGTGGTGCCGTAGCGTATGTTGTGAAGAGAATCATCAATGTTTGTCTCCAACTAAACAAGACATGTGGACAGCATGCGGTAATTAGGCTGCGGGTGCAGCACAAGTAAGTCTTTTGAATGATTTGAGTGCTGCTGATGGTGCGGGCGACAACAATGATCGATAAAAAAATGTGCTTTGAATTCATTCGACGTAAAAAAAACACCCGGTGGGTTGTTCCCACCACCTCTTGAAAACGAGGATACCAAAGTTCCGACGAGGATTGTCGTGTTGATCGACACCAACGGTGCAGCAAGCAGATCGAGCTGTCGCATGTCTGCTCTCTTCTCTTCCGCGCGCCGTTGTGCGCGCAACATGCATGCATACAGAGATATGTACCCTTTAGATGAAAATGTTAGCAGAAAGGATGATGACTGGATGGATAGTTCTCATCCCCCGCCACATCAAACGTATGTATGTATGCATTCGGTCTGTGTATATGTGCATGCCGTGTGTAAGGCGCATACGGTATTCATTCGTATGCATATGAGATATATTGTAAACAAGGTTTCGCTTCGGGACGTGGGCGTCTACCCTCCCTAAGATTACAACGCAAGATCACATGCATGCGCATTGAACGAAGCGGGACTGTGTGTCTTACAACGCTTGTATTTCCGCACAAATAAGTAAATCGCGCACGTTGTTGTTCTACATTGGAGCCAGCTCGAGCAAACATATATTTTGGCAGCGAAAAGTCAGACTTGCATGCCATGATATCTTCGATTGACGGTGGGAGATTTCCGATGAGAACCGACTTTACTTGAAGCCGAACAACACCACAAATGGGACATGTTCAACACTGCGGCTGGATGCATGCTCTCAGGCTTATCTACGCTTGGCCCGCTGCGAAGTGTAAACGTAGGTACTGCTGTCGGACAATGCGATGACACGAAGCGTCACAGCCATGAATCATCGAATGAATAAATTAATGAACGAACGAAAGTGAAGAAGCAGTGGCAAATACTTCAAACCGTGATACTTGATTGGTTTGATAGGTTGCAGAATTGGTTCGCCAGACTTTGTCAGCGCGGAACGCGTCCCCGAGGTTTTGAGCCAGTTTTCATAACTTTGGCCGTCAACCACACGCACGCGCCGCGGAGGCCTACCGAGCTCCGGGCACGGGCGTTAATGTACCGACGAGCCTCCTGCGTGCCCCTGAGAAGGAACCGCGAGAAAAGACTCGCTGCCGCGAGAGAAAGAAAAGCCGAAGCATGAAAAGTGACCAAATCTTGTACGTACTTACGTCGGGGAGAGAACAGGAAGAAGTCAACGGGACTTCATGCGTTGACGGGTGATTTTATAAGTCGATGACCACCACACACACTGAGTGACTCGCACGCACGTAAGCTTAGACTTCTACTACTACTTCTGCATGTACCATTTTTAATTCCGTTTTGTTGCTTTTCTCCTTCACTACTGCGTAGCGTTCTCCCTCTGCCCTCGTGAAGCGTAGACAACAACGTACCTACCTCCCTGACTGACTGCCTGTCTGTGTAGACGTTCGAACACGAATCTCCACCACCTCCACCATCATCAAATCCTGTTCATCAGGCTTCAAAAACTTGTGCATCTATCTCCCCTCCTCCAACGCGCACCATTCATCATCGTATTTCTCTGCTTGCGTTGTTGGAGGCGGGGATGACTATATTGATCCGGATACCAGACAGATAGGATAGGAGGAAGACGTTACACAACGCATGCCTACGAATGAACAACATGTCCTGAATGAAAAGGAAGGCTGCTCAAGGAGGTTATTAGCGAAAGGAGGAGCAAGCAAGCACGCTGTTTTGGCGCCGTGAGACTTGCTTTCTGAAATCGATAATTCAACAACATGTGAAGATCCGTTTGCTCATTGCCGCGGGGTGCCTGTTGTCCATCCGTCGTTCGATCATTTTTTTTTCACGATGACTTCCGCGGTTGGTCGTTGTTGCATCCTCGCATTGCTTCTCGGCAACTGTTCGATTGTATTTGCGTGTTCTTCCCCACAACCCCCATTGCCAGGCGAAGGGGGAATATTGGCAGTGCGGCAGTAGACCTTATAATATATGATATGTAGTGTAGGACATCCGATGTTACTAGGGCTTTCTCCGACCGCCACGTAGGTGCTGCTTGCTGCTGCAGCTAACCACCTTGCGTGCATTCTCGGAGCGAAGCATGTCGTTGAGGAAGGAAGCTCTGTCAGCAGGAGAACTGATTATGGTGACAACGACATACCTATGCCGTTGCAGCAGATTGTATGGAACACTTTAATCTAAAACCCGGCAAACCAGCCGTCGGTGAGAAAAAATACCTTGAGCCAAGAAAGCTTCACGAGCGCATCACCCAGAAGACCGCGCTCCCGTCTCGCGTGCACACGAGAATGATAGTGATCCATTTGGCACATCTCGTCCGTCCTCCGCGCCTCGCCATCCCCCCCCGCCCGGCAACAAACCACAGTACTTGTTCAAAATTATATGCGTACAACTAACTGATTATTACAAGACTCATGCAAATTGGGTACATACATCTGATTTGTCACAAACTTCATTCTTCTCGTGCATATTGCGTGCAATGATAACCACGCTTTACTTTCGGACCGGCAGCTCTTGGTTTTTGTATAAACATGTCGATCCCTCCTTCGCGTGTTTGCTTGACGCCGTCCGTCCGTCTCAACCGTTCGCTTCATCCACACACCCTCGGGCTTTCCGTGTATCTCGACGACAGCTCGGATTCAGTGTCACAACAAGAAGAGGGGTTATTTCGCAGCCCATGGAGGTATCACCTCAATCACAAGAGGAGGCGGTTTCTCTGATAAATTCTCATTCCACCGCTTCACACCACCCAGTGTACAGGGACGACGAAAGTAGTAATCACGAACCCATTGATACAAGCAATAACCGCGTATTGGAGTAGTGAGTAACGTTTCCCCATCCTTTCGTGGGTGGGCTTGGCGGCCGTGCCACCCGCCGAAGTCAGGCCGATTGCGTGTGTCCTCCCGAACGCAATACACCACAGGGTACTGCAGAATAATTATAACTCTCCCTGTGCTGGCTGCATGTTGTGAAGACAACTTTCATCCTAGAACCGGCCTACGAAACTAGAGAAAAAGCGGGACTGGTGATTGACTCTATTCGCAGGTGGTTTGCATCCAGTGTTGCATATCCACCTTCAATGCACAAGAACAACCATCATTTCATCCTCCGCTCAACGCCCCCCCACCCCACCCCTTCCCCCTCCCGTTCACGAGTTAAAAAAATTGCCATAGTTGGCGACATCGACCTGAACGCATAACGTTACCCGAGTTTTGTACGCTGCTGTTGTTATCACAAGCCACCCATCGATAGTGTTACAGCACAGTACTAAACACAGTATGGCACACTTCATCCACGCTCCTGATCCAAGCAAACCGCGCTTTCTCTCTCACCCGCTTGCGATATCTTGACAAGCCGCTCACAAATAGAACAAGAAAATCGTGATTCAAACTCTCGCCGCCCCCTCCGTGGTTTCAACCCCATTCCTGCAGACAAAAAAAGTCTCAACGCTTATCTCGCTTGTCGTGCCTACAAATATCCCGCTCAATGCTACTTACGATCCTACCCAGACTGTTGTAATCATTCAGTATGTTACGGGCGTTCGGCTACACACAAAAAAGAACGTTTGCACCTGCCGAAAAAAAAAACTGCACGGACGAACGGACGGACGGGCCAGGCCAACGATCAGGCAAAGCCAGCAAGAAAGCTGATACGTCAGCGCTGTGTGCATCATCAACTCAGCCTCCACGATACGTGTGTCTTACCCCCCCCCGCGCGCCCCCCTCCCAAGCTTTTGAGTTGGCAAACCTCGAGGAGCGCCTTCGTGACGACCGTAACGTGAAAAGCGACAAGCCAGTCTATCCAAGCCTTCCACGGCGGTGACATGATTGGAAGGAACAAACAGGACCATAACTATGGAGACATAATTGGAAGGAACAAACAGGACCATAACTATAACGCACGCACGAAAAACTTACCAAGGGAGATGCGAAATTATCCTGCCGACAAGTACTCTATAACATTAGACCGTACACCCCCGCACAAGCATCTCGTGACAACTTCGTGCTGGGGAAAAAAGACAAAAAAAAAAGAACGAACAAAACGAACAATGTAGTGCGCGGGTACAGAGGGTTTTCCCCCTGCCCCTCCCGCTGCCACTAACACAAAAATAACATACAATAGACTGATAAGCGCCTCGCCATTAATGGCCGGTCCAATCAGCACGTGTTTGCCTTGCCACGCAGGAATTGGTGGACAGCCCCGCTGGCTGGCTTCCAGAAAAAAAAAAATTAAGCGAAGAGCTCCTCCACCCGCACCCTCTTTCGTTTCCGTAAGCAACACGGGGAAAAGTAGACGGTGGGCGACAAGCAAGCTCTCGTTTTTCTCCACAACACCAGGCGCCTCGAATCCCCCGCCAAGAACAACAGAGACAGCGGCTCTCCCTCTCGGGAAGTGGTTCGGAGCAGAGAGCACTCCTCTCTTCAGCACGTTGCTAAAAGGTATCTCAGATGCAAATACTTCGTTATCATCTCAAAACCGTGTCGCAGAACTGTCGTCTGGGGTGACTGACGATACTGACTTGCCTCCGATGCACGTCGCTTGGATCCCCCGCCATGACTCTTGATCGGCTGCTCAAGTTCAAATCATACATTTTCATCATCGCATCATTCTTATCCCCTCACAAGAAGGAGACCGAACCCCAAAACTTCCGATAATTCCGAAGACGTGAGATCCGAGACCACCACGGCTTGGCTGCGGACGGACTCCCCTCCCACGGTCGACACACCACCACACGACAAACACCCAACAACAACGAAAACAACCAACATTGGGCTACCACTCGGGAGGAAAGCGAAGGCAAAACTCACGCAAAATCCACTGCTTGGCAGCAGGGCAGACAAGCGATGACGCCACCACAAAGCAGGGGCCACAGAAAAAAAGAAAAAGCAGCAAGAAAAATGCCACTCGTTTCTTCGATCTCATTTTTAGTAGACCGCGCCGCCTCCGCCACTGTACTGGTGTGCGTGCTGCGAGTGCCTGGCGGCCTCACGCTCTTGTTCCAAATCCACGTCCACCATCTCGAGCCCCACGTCCCCGGTGTACTCGTGCTTGCCCTCCTGCTCGTACTCCTGATCGTCCCACTCCTCGCTGCCCTCGGGCGACATGCCGGGCGGCGCCTCCTTTGCGGCCGCGTCGCCCTCCTCTTCTTCCGCGTCTTCAAATTCTCCGGTCCTCACGATCTCGTTTTGGGCATTCACCTTCACCTCGCGGTTGCCCCACCTCCGGTCCTTGAGCGTGCACAGGGCGTACAGCTTGATCACGGCTCCCCAGTACTGCACGAAGATGAAGGGGCCGATGTACCAGAACCACCGGCAGGGGGGACGCGGACGGGACCAGGTGAAGTACATGACGGTCTTCATCACGCGGGTCACCAGGATGTAGCACGCGAACGCGACAAGGATGAACATGTTCTGCTCCCAGAAAGCGTAGAACAGGACGGCCATCGGACCGTACACCATGGTAAAGGGGGAGATCATCTTGTCGAGCGACGTCACAGCGAGCCATGGGTACTTGCGCCACACCGAGCGCTCGAGGAAGAGCATCTTGATGTCCGAGCGCCACGAGTTGCGGCTCCAGCGCAGAAGCTGCGCGCGGAGCTTGGCGCCCGCTTCGAACTGGGTGGACAGGGTGCACACCTGCCGTTTGGGGGGGGAGGGAGGGCCACAAGAAATCGAGTGTAAGGGAGACGGAAAAACACAAAGCGGACACGTGTATGCGGTGTGTTTGGCGGGCGGCCTTCTTTGATGTGCGGCGGTAATCTCTCACACACGGCCGGGCAGCATCGTTCACTTGCTGAAAGGAACGCCCCCACATATGGCGCCCCCTCCCCCGTGTTTGCCATCGGGGTTGGGTTTTCGTCGCTTGGCAAAGACGTTGTAATACAAGCCAATCCACTTCGTGAACTCGGCAACCAGGTTACCGTTTTGTTTTTTACCTCCGGTTTTATTTTGGCGGTANGAACCCTCACTCCGCGCAAGGGGGATGATCGCACCACGTTGTGTTAAAATGGTCAAGCACCCTCGAGGCAGGTACATGTGCTTACAACTGTCAGGAAGTGAACGCACCAGAAAGTAAATCAAGTCAAACGCAGCTGTCATCCGTACGCAGGGAAGTACGCACAAGATGCCGAACACCCATAGCAGGATGCAGCGCACCCTTCATGCGACTCGCCGAGTACCTCACGGGGCTTCGCGCTTGGTGATGTGAGAGCCTGGTCCGGTGAGAACCCGGCGTGCTCCGTCCCGGCTTTGTAGGGATGCGAGGTCAATGGTCTAACGACTACGGCATGCACGACTATGAGTACACCCCCCCCACATGTGGCGTGTATGTAATTACGTCAACAAAATACTGAGCTTTGACGGGACGGTGACAAGCGCACCCCCAGGTCGTACACAGGATGCACAGGGTGCACTGCTGTAAGCGGCGAGAGCACCCGACATGACAGCACTCCAGACCCTGTGCCTCATCGCAGCAGAGGGTGCACTGCTGCAAGCGACGCCAGTCAATACGCGCACTCTAGCAACCAACCTCCCGCACATTTTTGTTCGTTGTCCAAGCTACAAGCTTCCTCTCGGCAGTTAGCTGTCCCGCCACTGCAAACCTACACACAAAGCACACAGCTGTATAATGAGCTTACGGACAGGAGCACTGCAGGTAATCGTGCAGTGGAACACACCTCGCAGATCTGATGCCACATCTTGTAGTCCGACATGATACACAGGCGCGTCAGGCACTTGTCATCTCCCGAAAGCTGCAGCTGTCCAGCGAAGTGCTCGTTCAGGAAGTAGTTCTTGAAGCCGTCAAAGCGGAACAGCTGCGTGCGGTAAGCCATGGTTCGGCCTGAAAGGCACGTTGAACCGCCGCCCATGAAGGTGGTCGCGCGGTACTCCAGGTATCGCTGGTACAGACGCATGTCCTGATGGCACGGGCGGAAACAAACCAAAATCGGGACGCACAACATCTCGAGGGGTGCTTCGGTACATTCGTGGACCCCAGCAAACAGATTTACATGAATCCTCGAACTGCCGTTCAAAAGCAAAACAATCGAATTGCGTTCGGCACGGCGACAGAGCTCCAACACCTCACAAGAGAGATACGTAACTCTCGTCGAGCATCAGAGTTTCACGCCCCTCTTCGTACACGTACAGGACCAACATCCAGCACCATGTTCCCGGTGCCAAACCATCATGCTCACAACTTCGTGACGCTGTCTGCTGCTCGAGCCCTTGTCTGCGGTGCCTTGCGATATTTTTTTTTTCTTGGTGAGGAAGGTACGAGTCCATTCTTTGGTACAGCAGTAGCGAGAACACATCGCTACCTGCTACGGAACATGCCTGCCAGAGACACTGCGGCCTTCACGTTGTAACGTACGGATGCTTCTTGCTGCACCTCCAACACATGAAGGGGTTCCCCCGTGCGGGCAACAAGCTCAGCAAGCCAGTTTTTTCAATTGCGAAGCAGTGCGTACGCGTAGAACACAACAAACGAATGAAACACGCAGTGATCATAAGCAAAGGGTGCAGGGGAATTGTAAATTACCCTTGGGATTTGGTGAGACTTTTTATGCTTGTCGCGGCGCCACTTTCGTCGCCAAACCCGACACGCAACAAATGGATTGGAACCCAGTGTTGGTTGGAATCAACTCATATTGTATGGCTTCGACGTGGTACTGTAAAACAACACGGGCACCAGCCCGTCTCGTGGTCCAAACACTCGTGGCACGTTCAGAACTATAAAAAAAAAGTGACTCGACTGACCATCATGATGTCCGAGAAGCAGAACTTGTCCGCCTTCGGGCGAGCGATCTGCCGGGTGCCGCAACCGCCCATGGCCGGGTCCTTGAAGGGCATGATGAGGCTCTTGAGGACGGCGGGGCCGTAGAGAGCATCATCGTCAGCGAACACGGTGATCTCCGTGTCAACGTAGGCCAGCCCAGTGTACATGGCGGCGCGCTTGCCGGGCTTGGACTCCTCCACGACGCGAATGATGGTGGCGCGAGGGTTCACGGTCTCAACGATGTTGAGCACCTTGGAGCAGCAGCAGCAGCGACAGCAGTAGTAACACGAGGTGTGAACACATGTACAGGACGGAACGAAAGGGCTACGGATACAGGGTATCAATGAAGCAACGCGTGCACTAGTGCCCATGAGAAGCAGGACGAGAGGAACAACAAACAATTGTTCCTCGGTTGTAGGACGTGGCTTCGATTGCCTCCTTCCACGTCATGGAGAAGTTCATTGCCGCGTAACATGACATTTTGTTCACCAATCGGCTCTGCGCTGTTCCATCAGAGGCAAGCAGATGACAAGGAACAAGCATACGCTGCTCCTGCTCTGGGGGCAAGGTGTCTACGCGGTGCGTCAAAGAGAACATTTCAAATCAAACGTGCGCAGGCAACAGAACACATACTTTCTAGGCATCTTGCCAACGACCAGAATCTGGCTTCGCGTGGAAAAACAGGGAAATCGAAGGAAAAAAAAAAAACAGGAAGGAATCAGGTAGTTTGCTAGAGCGTTTGAAGCCTAAGCACTCAAGACAGCCATCGTTTGAAAATGAGGCTCTTCGACGACACTAGCGGATGGCCGGAGGGCTCACGACTACCTCGGAGTCAAGGGGATAGGGCATTCAGTGTAAACGCACTTGAATCGGTTCATCAACCCCCCCTCTGAAGAGGGCAACGTACGCACATTTTCACACACAACGTCTCTCTCTCAGTCACCAGTTCTCGAAGCGGACCACACCAAGTCTATGATATGAGCCACAGGAAGAGTGCACCACGACCAAACGGGCGCCGTGGACAGCAACTTCCGTCTATCGTCAAAGCCGCTGCTGTACAAATAGCGAAGCCAAGCTGCCGCTGGTGCTGCTGTCGCAAGAAACGGCTTGTGTGCCGCACACTAATCCCGCATCCCCAACTGATCGTCTTGTGTGCGTCGTACCTCTCACGCGGGAACGAAACAAAAAATCTCTTGTTGCTGCTGTGTGTTGAAAAAAAAAATGATTTGTGTTCCCTTTTCGTTCCGTGGAGTTTGGTGGCTTTCGCTCCCTTGTGACCCAACACCACTGGGTTGGTAGCTTCCGCTCCCCCTACGTGACACAACACTACTCAGTCGGTTGTTACCCGCTAACCGTGATCACAGCACGCAATGAAGGTGTTTTACTACAAGCGGGAGCGCGCAAAGAGCGTAATCAATGACCAGCCATGCGTTGATGCATCAAATGTCGGATGATGAAGACTTGGTTGTCGCTGAGCGACAGCAGCAGCAAGGCGGTTGTCGTTCCCCCTCAGATTCCAAAGCTTGGAACACGATTCGGCACCAACAAACGCAGAACACAGCAACAGTCTGCCGACGTCCGCTGTACCCCAGAGATGATTTGCAAGGCACCATCAGAGCGATTATCGGCTGGAGAGCAAAGCCGGCGTTGTCCATGCCCAGCCCCTCGCCTACCATTCTCGCCGCGGAACGCCCAACGGCTCGCTCTCACGCCGTTTTCTTCGCTCGGGTGGCATTTTTCTATATTCGTCACTTGTGACATCTCGGGCGTCGTGAAGGCAAATAGGTGACTGCTGGCGCACGAGCTCGTGCGCACGGCGCATGACTACCGTCATTGGCTGCGGCACACAGGATGCGCGTCAGAATAACGCTGCTGCGTCGGTGCCCGCGGGGGTATTCGGCAGAACGGCATGATAACGTGTCATCAGACGAAGCTCTCAATACTCGATGTTGGGGAGGAAGGTTGAAAAAAACTTGGAAAACAAAAATCACATGGGAGATCGACCTCTCGGTCAAACGAGCGAGAGAGTTGCAGCGAGGTGGCACCCGTCGCCCTCTACTGCCGAGCTCCTGCGGTAGAGGTATGCAAGGCTCTCGGCGGGGCGGGCCGTACACCGTGCTCTCACCTGTTGATACGAGTTGGTGTCCACCACAATCACGATGGTTTTCGGTCGATTATCGACCCAGCTCTGGAGGCACTCCTCGAAGCCAGGCTCCGGCATGTAAACGGGGATGATCATGGTCATCATCTGAGTGCTGACGGGCAAGTGACCTTGCTCAAGCTCTTCGCTGATGGGTATCGGCTTGTAGAGCAGGCTGGGGATGCCCTTCAGGATCAGGTACGCTCCCCATCGCCAGATCCCGATCCACAGAGGCAAGAAGAGGACAGGGTCAAAGTGGAACCAGGGCGTGTTGCCCTCCTTCAGCGGCATGGTACCGCCGGTCAGCCCCTGCCCCTCTACCTGTGCTCCGTCTCCCGCTACCTTCTCACCACGTATATAGCTGCGTGCGCGGCGGTACCGTCGTTCGTTGACGGGGCGTAGTCTGCCCCCTTGCCTCGCTACCTACGTAAAGGAGTTTGGATGAGGTAAGGGAGAGAGAGAAAGGGGAGATGTGGTGAGGCGGTATTCGATTTTTGATTAGCGAGAGGGGGGCACGCGGTCTGGATGGAATAGGAAAAATATTCTTGCAAAAGTCCGAACAATGATGACCCGAGAATGTTGGTCCGGTAAGTGGTAAGGTGCTTGGAAATAGGCGGGTGTTGGTGCGTATGCGAACAACCATGGCCGCAACAGAAGCTTCCAAGCTTCGAAAAACACTCCCAGCACGTTCTTTTCCCTCCCAAACATGTAGAACTGCGCCATCACTCGGGCAGAGCTACACGGGACGTTGATCACCTGGTTCTCATCGTGCCCGATTGTCAAACGCGGCCTCTTTGCCGTGTGTGTACAGCAGTGGCACTACGCTCTATTTCTATTTTGCCTCATAGGGACAAGTGTGTGCAGCAGCGGTATAGTAGTTCAGACCTGCACTATGTGACTCGCATCTTTAGGACTGCCGGACTGACCTGACAGATACTTGAAGAGTTGAAAGATCAGCGCACCACGGCAGCAGTAGCCTACGCGAACAATTAGGAAATAATTTCCAACTGATAATTTCACACACACACAAGAAGTCGAACAACACATATGTACAACAGGTACATTCCCTGCCTAGAGGTTTGGCTAGGATTAGTCTACATCCCGGTGTTGTTAAATGCTGTACTGCTGTAGAAGGACCAGACAGACGTTAAATGTCTGAGATGATGTGATACCATCAGCAACAGGTATCTGTTGCGAATAGAACGTTTTGTTGCATCAGTTTATGCGAACTAGTCTATTGCTTGGTATACCCAGGAGTAGTTGAAGTGATTTGGTCGGCTGATTTGGTCGGGGGCAACGCCCTCATTCCTATACTTGTTTTAATTCTATGTAGTCCACATCTTCATCGTGCCTGTGTCATGTGCCTTTCTTCCGATGATGACAGGCATGTGCCTTCCACATGTATTTATATAGACTTACGTACAATGAACGACAGTGAACGACATGATCACTAGACTACTGCTAACTACGAACGCTGCTGCTGTAGACTAGAAGCGATTGTAGTACCACCAGTCTAGTCTACATCGGAGGTGCTCGATTGCAAAAGAAGACTTCGCGGCAGGAACTTCGAGCGGGCGTCGTGTCGATTCAATCTAAATCTTTCTTCCCTGAAAATATCTTGCGCATCCACGAGGGGTGGGTGTGCTACGTCCGCCAGACTCTCCTCGAACAGTACAAGTTCCAAACTAATAACTTCGAAAATCTGTTGTTGTGGTCCTCCTCCGTCCAGCGTTTTCGGTGGGCCCACCATCCTCTGGTTGGTGGCGGGGTTTTCTCCCGAGATGTGTTTAATCGGACGAATCTCTTCGTCGACTCACCACGACGCCACAATCAATGTGGAACAGAGGAATCGTCCGCGATGGACGTTGGGGAACATGGGGATAGCAGTAGTAGGAGTCGTTTACAGTATTGCCCACGTATGTAGCATTTCAATCGTTGAGCGTTCGCGTGACCTCCAAATTCGTTGGTGTTCGTTATCAGAAGGTCCACGCTGGAGTGGCGTCAAACGCAAACAAGATGAGCGTGTGCTTGCTCAATCGGGGCAATTTCAATCAAATCCTGCGCTATAATATCGCCCCTGGTCGTTTCTCCGAAAAAACATCCAAATTGTTCCCAGACAGTTCAGCGTCGGTGCTTTTGGGGGCAGCCTCGCGACGTTCTCCCTCCTCGTCATCCACACGCTGCTTGATCTCAAGGCCACCACCTAGTCCTCCCCCTCGATCGAAGTACATCCCTACCCACGCTTGCTTGCAGTAGAACATCGGGTCGCCGAGGAGTAGTGCCGCACGGATGTTGGTCACATAGTACACAGTTGCCGCTGCGACGACGGTGGCACAGTAGGCAAGGGTGTCATTTTCTTCGTGCGTTGGTCTTTAGGTCGCCATTTGAACGCGCAGTTCCAATGGAGGTGGACGTCCGATCCCATGCACATGCAACGAAACTATTGGCACATCGACGCCTGAGTGCTTTCAGGCGAATGACATGACCGCAAGGAAAGTGAGGCACAACATGGCATCATCGCCTTGTCGACACACTACTGGGAAACAAGACAACAAATGGAACGCTCCTTTCATGAGACAGCAGTACTCCGGGCTTCGGTCGGCTGGACGTGACTAGGCTTCCCGGGTTTTCGTGACTGCCTGACTTGTCGAGAGCGCGAGATTGAGATGTTCATCGCCACAGAGGGACGCAAGCGGTTGCTCAGCGGGCGGAACGAACGGCGGAGCCAGGTGTCGCCAGCGGCACTCGCCTATCTTGTGGAAGATTGAGAGAGGAAGGTAGCCGCGCAAGTCCCACACTTGCCAGATTCCCATCCCTTCTTCGCCTTGCACCATGGCTGCCTGTTGGCAGAAACCAGTTGGCAGCGAAAACATACAGCACACAAAACAAGCAAAGGGAGACGTGCGGTGGGATGTGAAAGCACACCTGTGTCAACCACGAGCTGGTCTTGTCGCTGCTAGAAGGGTAGGGACGGTTGTCTCAAGATAGACACGTGATAATAACCTGATCTGGATTGATCGCAGAGTCAACAGCGGCATCAAAGCTCAGAAGTTTTGGAAGCCCGTGGTTAGCCCCTTGTGGTACGAGATAATAGTCTCAAAAGCCGCAAGCTATTCTGTCGGAGACGTGAAGCTAGTTGGCGGGGTTAGCAGGGACTACATGGTCTAAGATCTTCCCTTGGCAGTATTTTACAGCCTCTCGTTGCCGTGTTGATTTTAAAGAACACAATGTAGGTGCTGCTTATTGTTCAAAAGACACGGCCAATTACCGTCACTGCGACTCCCAGGCTCGTTGAGCAGGGTTTGGAGGCCGTTCTGGTGTAAGCCCTTGGATACGCTACATTCGGGTGTCAACACTTCGTCAAACGATGCTGCTGCGTTTTGTCGTGTCTCTCATCTCACCACTCGATAGCCGTAGACGCAGGCTGTCGTGACAAAATACAAGACGTTTATGATGTACACCGTCAGGTATTGCGACGTCAGCATCCCCATAAGCCCGACTCGAAACGGGTAAGTCTCAAACATCATAAGAAAGAGACAAGCGAAATTTCCCACTTGGACCACGAGCTGAAACCTGTATGTATTTTGAACACAGGTCCAAAAGAGGGGCGCTGGTTATCTGTGAGCCGAGGCGGGTGTCTCATTCGTGAGGATATGGCCAGACCGATTGAGTGCATAATTCCATCTACACGTACAGAATCAATCCCTACACTTGGCGCGAGGCTCGCTCGCGGCTTGTTCCCTCTGTGGGGTATGCAGCAAATTATGTAATAAGTATTAATGCATGTTCGGGTCGCTCGGCAGAGCACCGCACCAAAACAATGCACTCCGTATGTAGTGAGAGTTTTCTTCACCCAGTGTCACAAGAAATGTTGTTAATCGGCTACTACATACATGTGTGAATATGGAAGTGGCGCCCAAGTTTCTACGGTGGGTGGATGGAAGCCCGGCAGGCGTGTGTAGCACACGAGCCTCTCAAGTAGGGAACCCTATGCCTCGATCAAATCTCGGCAGGCCTTCCTTACCCAAGGATGAGCACCAAGGCGGTTCCGTCCCTCCCGGTCCCGTCCCACGTGCCAAAAGTTTCGTGCTCAACGCTGCTGTTGAGAGTCATGTCGACGACCGTCAGAAACACCATGATGAAAAGCTTCACCCTGAACAGGATACAGTCGCCCCCGCTGACACAAGAAGCCGGCAAGAAACACAATCATGCGCAGATACTTCAAAGATACGTGTAATCCTCGAGGTTCTCATGGAGTTCATTAGTAATAGTCTGGCGTTGTGCCACCTGTACTGTACCACAGCGGTGCGTTCGGTAGCTGAAAAGCTTTACAGGACAATGGCGACCACGAGAACAGGCTGCTCGTTTCCACCAACGTTTGTATAGGTGTTGAATGTGCTCTAGACCAGTCTAGTCTGAATGTCGTGCTAGAGTATTGTAGACATGGTGTGCATCGCGCCGGCGGTACTGCAGTACGATACTCGTTCAAGAGGTGAAAAGGATATCCTTGGAATTCTACCATTGACTTCTGCTGTGTGCTCCTTTTTTGTCCTTGTTGTACTCCACCCGCGGGTGCGCAAGGACCCGAGGGTGCAGCAGTGAGCCGGTCGCCGGCGTCCAGACAAAAGATCTGAACATCGGTCAGGGCCAAACACAACTCGGATCCTTCGAGGCTGCGTGAAAAATGCGGCGGAATATTTGTACCAGCGCGCAGCTGATGGTCACATGGAGATGAGCGGATCCAAGTATCAAGTTCCATCCAACAGAGCAGCAGTGGGAAAAGCGTGGTACATAGAGCCTGAACCGAAATGGTTGCCAACGGCGGTATCTCGACGAGCTTCAGGACAGCACCTAGTTGCCAGTGAGCGGTCTCACGTTGTCACTGATGCGTTCCTGGCCACCGCAGTCATCGTCAGATAGATGATGTCCTCCGGTTGGGTAGGGCACCGCTGTCGCTGTCCGTCGATCACCTGTACCCGGCAAAGGAGCCTCCGATCTCCACCCTGTACGGAGAGCACGCCCTGTCCAAGACAAATTGTGGATAGTGCAGTCTACGCGTAGAACTTAAACGGTCTGCTGTAGATTTACTGCAGTACCCCCCTCACCTTCGGTCCTCAGAATAATTACGACAGTCTCGTCATCGGTTACATTTCTTGTGTCGAATCGTAACTTGTTGTGCGTCACAGAGCCTGTTTGTCTGTCCTCACGGTGTATACAAGGATGGCCTACAGCGCTGCCACTGATCCGAGCGTGACGCAGCAGCAGTATGTAGACTAACCTATAGCAATTTCCACCGGCTGACCACAAATGGAACGCTTCGTTTTCGTACTCGGAACACAACTTCGCACGAAATTTGTGTTCGTTTTTCGCTGCGGACTCCGAGGGAACAAACCTCATCAAGTCCCGATGATCCAAACTTACCTGTCTCCGGACACCAAAGCTGCCGAGACGTGTCGCCCAAAAAAAACGAACACAAAAAAAAACGACCCAACAGACGACTCAACTTTTGCACGAACATCGAGAAAAAATACTCCTGTCACTGCAGCTGTACGAGGCCAACCAGCGGGGGTCTATAATACGAAAGGTGTCCTACGCCTCAGTGGCGCGCGGGGGGGGGGCTAACACTAGCACGCATTTGGATGGGACAAGCCCCAACCGTTACTCGAATCGTAAGCGACGAAGGGCCACAAAGCGGTGGCCAAACAACGGCCAACAAATGCCGCACGCGCCGTATACCCATGCCACTCGCTCTCGCTCGCCCCATCACAGAGTGTGCACAGGGTGGGCTGTGCCCACTAAACTAGCGGGCAGGTCCACCCCGACCACGGAAGGGCGGGTTGGGTGAGCAAAACACATAGGGGGGGTCGCGTGGAAGAAGGCACACGAGAGAGATCCGTTCGAAAAAAACAGTGAGCGTGGCAGCCCAAACGCGTTCACATCGTTCATGTCGGGAGAAAAGAGGACGAGCCCTCTATGTGCGGCGCATGCTCACATGAACCTCCCCACATGTGTGGCACATGTTCATGAATGTCCCCCAAAATAAATCGGTCCACGCTCTTTCGAAACCCTCTAAATTATTCGAGCGAAGCGAGATTTCTAATCTTGCCTGAGAGGGCTCAGCGCAATATAGGGGCCGATGCAGGAAAAAAAGTGCGTGCGTGTGTTGTGTTCGCTTAAACTAGGTTTTAGACTATAGGACTTGATTTGTGACTACAGGGCGCACTTTTTTTTTTTACACAGCAGAGCAGCAAACAGCAACAGCAGACAACACGCGCTCAGCGAGCAGACTGAACACACACGCACAGCAGACAACACGCGCTCAGCGGGCACAGCGACACACCAACAGCGCAGAGCGGACACAGCCACAGCGGCCTGCATGGCATGGCAATTGCATGATGAGTAGACGTCCGTTGGGGCCGATTGACCCGAACTCCCTCCGTGAGGCAGAGACGCACACAGACTCGCGGCGCAGACAAAGCCACGGGGAGAGGGAGCCCCTAGGCAGCCCACAGCTTGACCGGGCGAGAGCTGCTGCTCGTCAGAGGACTGCCGCCAGGCGTGCGGCGGAGACCGATGGAGCACGGGCAGAAAGGTGCGTTGCGTGTGCGTGCGTCTGGGCGGCGATTGCCGGAGAGG